CTTTTCCTACGGGAAGCGCTGCTGAAATTTCTGCAAAACTGAACAGAGTTAGTCATATTCAGGTTCCTAGAAATTCTGAAAAGGCACCTTTCCTACGGGAAACGCTGTCGAAATTTTTGGAAATTAGGAGAGAGAGAATATTTTCAGTTAGACCAATCTTAGCAACTCAACCCTGAGTAGGGGAGGTATTACTGAACCTCTCAGAAGCTGAGTAGGAGCTTAGTAGAGGAGTTAGGATGTGACTTAGGAGGATTACTCCCTACTTAGGCTAAACGCTGTAGTGGAATCTCTTTGACCTGTGTTGTGGTGCAGGTCGTGCGTATTGATTGAAGGTCTGACTTGGTCAGCCTGACTATTCTTCTGTTATCGCTGATAACAAGTCGGTTGTCGATTTGTCGGTTTACGACTCAACCCCAATTCATTCTCAATACTCAGCCTGAAAAGGCTTTAGCCCTGGTGATTTTATTGTTTTTTTAAGATTTCACCCGGACTTTTATTGAATGACCATCTGACAAAGGTACTGAGTATTTAATTTGGTTGTCTGGAGGTTGGGGCTTGCATGGCTAAAGTGAGGGGTATGAGTATAGAGGTTGGTTGGAGTTGACTCCCTGTAGTGTGTGGACTTTTGTTTGACTCTTTCATGTGATTGCAGGTATATTCTGTGGCTCGAGTTATTGGATTGGACTGCCTGCGACCTCATATATATGTATGGCTATGAGGAGTCCCATTGTGATTGTGAGATGTGATCGTCACATATCTATTCCCCTGTATATACATATGTACATACATACGCGTGAGGTGTTCGCGCGGTCTATCGTGACCGTGTGCAAGGATTAAACAGATTATACTTTGAGGGAAAAAAAAGACCCCCTTTGACCTTTCGCTTTTTAGAGTTGTTAGGGTTGGACGTTGTAGTCCGTGGCAGCCGTCAAAGTCAAACCCTCTGATATTTGACCGCCACGACAGCTTAGAGCTGTCTACTCAACCCCTCCACACAGGGTGTAAAAGAGGGTGTGGAATTCAGCCGCACACGGCGGTTGTCGGGTGTCAAGAGATTACCCCTCAAAGCGCCTGTCAGTCGACACTTGAATGTCGAACGCGACCCTCGAGATTATCAAGGGCCGCGAGGCTACGAGTACTACATAGTACCCCATCAACGTCAGTGCTTGCCTATGCCTGCATGACTGGTTGATATGAGGAGGCCATGCGCTCACTCGGTACTTATAAGGAAATCCAGCGCTGTTTGTGGGGTTTGTCTTGTGTGTTTCTGTGTGCTATGCGTGGGTAAGCGTGAGTGTTGTGGTGTAACGTGTGGTGTGTGTAGTGCGTCCTAGTCGACCGACGTCGAGTCGCGTTTGGGACCTCAGCCCCCCAGTGCGTCAATTCGTGTACGGGTTCGATTTTGGGCGTTGACCGCGCGTACCCCCTATGCTACAGCGAACGAGAAACGCCCTTGGCTGGGCCACCTCTACAATTGTATACGAAAAGCCTTCGCATGTGGTTCAGTAGCCCGGCGGGGATACGCCCACCTAAGGGATGGTGACAGCTCCCGCAGGTGGAGGTAAGCGGTGCCTCGCGTGACCCTGTCCTGTCGTAGGGGCTCGCGAGAGGTACGGCTGGCGCACTCGGCCGGAGCGGCAAACGCCCTCCGCAACAAGTCCTGCATAATCCTGCGTGACGCGGTCGGGAGGCTCCCCGTGTGGGACCAATGCGCTCGACATCGTTTTCCCCCCTGAGACATTTCAACGTCGGTGGTCGTTGGGAGGGTGGACATTTTGAGGTTTTGGGGCCTTGCAAGGGCCAGGACCGCGTAGGACCGGTAGCTGCGTGTAGGAGGCCAAGGGGGCCGCAGTCCTTTTTCGAAATTGAAACGATGCGGGTCCACTTTTCTCGAATAGTAGGGTTCCTCGAATAGAAAACGTGCACGTTGTATTCAAATACAACATGTACCCTTTCTATTCGAATTTCGAAAAAGAAAAAATCTTGTATTCCGATCAAATTACTTTTTCTTATTGTTGGAGGTTAGCGCCTGCCCTTGTGCTCCCCGCCACTGACATGCTGCATGCTACAGGTCTCTCTCTCTCTCTCTCTCTCTCTCTCTCTCTCTCTCTCTCTCTCTCTCTCTCTCTCTCTCCCCACACACACACACACATACACACACACACACACGCACATACATTCTGCTGTCACGTTGTATCCGAATACAACGTGTACCCTTTCTACTCGGATTTTGAAAAGAAAAAACTATTGTATTCCAATACAATTAGTACGCTTTTCTTGGAGGTCAGCGCTTGCCCTTGTGCTCCCTGCCACTGACATGCTGCATGTTGCAGGTCTCTTTCTCTCTCTCTCTCTCTCTCTCTCTCTCTCTC